TTTTGGTTTTTCGAGACAGGGTTTCTCTGCGTAGCTTTGCGCCTTTCCTGGAGCTCACTTGGTAGCCCAGGCTGGCCTCGAACTCACAGCGATCCGCCTGGCTCTGCCTCCCGAGTGCTGGGATTAAAGGCGTGCGCCACCACCGCCCGGCAAAAAAAAGTTTGTATTCTTAAAGACCATGTATTGGTAAATGCCTTTGGAGTCCAGAAAAGGGCGTTGGATCCCCTGGACCTGGAGTTAAAGGTGGCTGTGAGCCACCTGATGTATGTGAGTGTCCTCTGCAATAGCAGCACACACTCTTGAGCCATCTTCTCTGTAGTCCTTATGTCAGATTCTGTTGTGTTTTCTGTGAATTTTTTCTTGTCATCACAATTTTCTAGAGTGGGCATGATTGTTGCTCTGTAGACCAGGCTGGCCTCGAACTCACAGAGATCCACCTGCCTCTGCCTCCCGAGTGCTGGGATTAAAGGTGTGCGCCACCACTGCCTGGCTTGTTTTCATAATTGAATTATACTGCAGACAAATTAGGAATGCTTTCTTTTGTGTATGTGTGGGTTGTGTGTGTGTGTGTGCGCGCGCGCGCATAGTGTGAAGCTCACAGGATGTCCAACCTTGGGTTTCTTTGTAGCTTTTCTGCTGTATACACCAGGCTAGCTGCAAGTGTGAACTTAAGGGATTCTTGTCTTCACCCTCATATCCCCCTAAGGGGAGCTTGGGGTGTTCAGAAGAGGTGGGTTCTTGGGACTCAAATTCAGATCCTCGTGTATGTGGCAAGTACTTTTACTCACTGTGCATCTTCCTAGTCCTAGGGTGTGTGTGTGTCAAAAGTAGATAGATCTTGGATGGGTTTTTTGTTTGTTTGCTTTCTCCTTTTTCTTCCTGTTTTTGTTTTTTGAGCCAGGATCCCTGGCTGTCCTAGAACTCACTTAGTAGGCCAGGTTGGCCTCAATCTCAGAGATCTGCCTGCTTCTGCTTCCTTGGTCACCATGCCTGGTGGATGTTTTTCTCAATCATGTTCTTATTTGTTTTGGGGATACGGTTTCTCACTGGACTGGAGCTCACTGCTTGGCCAGTGTACCCCAGGGATTCTCTTGTCTGCCTCCCTAGCACTGATGATGGTGCACAGCAGCATGTGAGCATATTTTATGTGCCGTGGCTTGGAGCTCAGGTCCTCCTGCTTACTCTGCCAGTGCTTTACCAGCATGCCTGCCCCTGCCTCCCTGCCTGTGCCTCTTTTTGCACCTGTTCTCAGAACATGTTTCTTCTTTTGTTGCTGTTGGAATTGGAATCACACTTCTGTTTCTTTCTCTACTCTTTCCAGTGTCCTTGTCTAGTTGGCGGTTCCCATTTTTGTTTTCCTGACCTTCCCATTGAGCACCCCCCTCTACCAGGTCCTCCTGCATGCCACCCATCAGCTGTCACTGCCTGTCCCCCGGCCCTGGTGATGAACACGCCTGTGTTGGGACCGTGTCCTTGTTGTGATGATCTCCTCCTCCGTGTTTGGGATTGACGCGGCTTCTCTCCTGCTTGTCTCCTGCAGCCGCTTTACTGCCTTATGCGTCTGTGGAGTCTCAGCCTGGAGAGTGGTTGGCAGACGGGCACAGTCCACAGAGTGTGATTGTGTCAGTTGAGCGGCTGCCCTGCAGAGCCAGAGGTTAGTCTTTAGTCTTCACAGGCGCCTGGCCTTGCTCATCCACCTCATCTGGCCTTTGACAGGAAAGCTTGCCAACCCTTAGCCTAAATCATTTTTCCTTCTGCATTGGAGCTATTTAGAGCTCAATCTTTTAAAAGAGCGCCATGCTGTTCTGGTTTTGGTGCAGTAGCAGAACATGTTTTATGTCATGCTCTCACAATCTCATGCTCAGCACTGATGCTTGCACTAGTGTGTGTCTCATCTCAGTTTCCGATTGCTGACCACTCCCACTAGAAGCAGACAAAAGTCTCTTGGGCTTATCAGCTGCCACATTCAGTAAGTAGGAATGAGCAGCTGCCTCGTTGAGAATGACCTAGGGGGTAACTACAACTACCACTTTCAACAAACTTGATCTCTTTTCTCCCCTCCACTGTTTCCTCCACAGCATTCCTACTTACTGATCTTTTGTTTGGATTTACTTATTGTGTGTGTAATGTACGTGTGCATGGCTGTGTAGAGGTAAGAGGACAACTCTTTGTAGTTGGTTCCTCCTCTCTGTGGGCTCTGGGTGTTGAACTCAGCTTTTTAGGCATGGATCTGGATCATCTTGATTTTTTTTTTTTTATTTATTTAACTTTATTTTATGTGCATTGGTGTCAGATCCCCTGGAACTGGAGTTACAGACAGTTGTGAGCTGTCATGTGGGTGCTGGGAATTGAACCCGGGTCCTCTGGAAGAGCAGCCAGTGCTCTCAACTGCTGGGCCATCTCTCCTGCCCCACCTTGGTCTTTTATACCAATTGTTTCCACACTTGACACTCTTCATCCTAATGACTCCTTCACTTATGCCTACAAATAATTGAGGTCTCCTTTCCCTGAGCAGAATCCCTTTTCTCTTCCTCATACATACTGTCCTACCCTAGGCCACCCAGAGCCCTTGCCAGATCCTTCTGGGCTCTTTCAGACTCTGGCGCTGCATTGGATGCTGTGCAGATTTACTGTCTGCACCTGCTTTCCTGGCTGACTGTTCCTCCTTCACTACCCTCTCACACACTTCTGCTCCAGTGCCCTCATCCATGCACTCGCCTGGCCTTATACCATGTGTAAGCCCCTCCCCAGCACCTGGACCACCCAGCACCTGGACCACCGCCTTTAGACCAGGTTGTATGTGGGTGATGTTTCTCCCCGTTGTGTTCTGAATGCCTTAAGTTTGAGTAGTGTCTTCATTTTTTACTTTATTTTTTGTAGGAAAGAAACCTCGCTCTGTATCCCAGGCTAGCCGTAAACTTGCGGTAACCTCTTGGCAGTTCTCTTTGCTGAGCCTCCTCAGGGGTGGGAGTACAGACACGAGCTTCTAGGTTGAGTTTCTTTGATGTAAGGTTGGTTTTTAATCTTTTAAAAATGCTCTAGACACTACTACCATAGTGTTTTGGGACATAGCATAGGCATCTTTGGATGCATGACATTTAGTATCCTAAAATACTTTTAAAGAACCACAATTTCTTTTTATTTTTTTAATTAATTAATTTTTCTATTATCAGCTTGATACAGTATAAATTCTTATCTTAATAGTGAAATGTTTCATTGAGGCTTGCTCAGTAATTGCGTAAAACCAAAACTTATTATAAGCCATAGTCATCCTAGGGTCCCCCATGCTATATATATAGCCTCCATGGTTCTGTGGGTTACAGTCTGATTGTTCTTTACTTTATATCTAGAATTCACTTATGAGTGAGTACACACCATGTTTGTCCTTCTGGGTTTGGGTTACCTCACTCAGGATGATTTTTTTCTAATTCCATCCATTTGCCTGCAAATTTCATGCTGTCATTGTTTTTCTCTGCTGAATAGTACTCCATTGTGTATATGTGCCACATTTTCTTAATCCATTCTTCAGTTGACGGACATCTACGTTGAAGAACCACAATTTCACATGAAGGCTAGGAAGCCAGGACTGGAGAGATGACTCAGTGACTTACAGTACATTCTGCACAACTACAAAGAGCTTAGTTTGAATCCCAACACCAGTGTAACAAGCCAGGTGTGGTCCATTTTCTATGAGTAACCCCAGCACCAAGTAGTGGAGAGACAGGAGGGTTGCTGGAGCTGGAGCTGGCCAGCCTCCAGTCTAGTTGAAAACGACCAGTCCCAGATTCAGGGAGGGGCTGTGCCTGAAATGAGAAAGGCCGAGTGACGGAGGAGGACACTTGATACCCTCCGAGGCCTTCTGGCAGGTTCACAAGTGTGTGCCCCTTGCACGTGCCCACACATACACACCCCAAGAGTAAGCCAGTGAAATCCGGGGAAGACAGCGAAAGCAGCACCTGTGGCCTCGGAGCGGTCACTCTGCTGTGTCTGTGGACAGGGCAGAAGGGTGCAGGGAGCTCGTTGGAATGCCTGTTGAGGACCTGGTGTACTGTGTGTACATTTTAAATTTCTTTGTGTTCCATCTGCCTGTGAAGCTCAGGGTTATGTTAGTCAATACCACTCTAGGCAAATACTGAAGCTTGTGAAATAGTCACGAAAAATGGACTGTTACCCCAGAGTGGTAGAAAGTAGAGATTCTCTTCTGTAGTTTTCATGTGTGTGTGCCCATGTGTTGTGTGACGGACTTTTGTGGTGATACAACACACACACATCAACTTCTAAGCTTTTGGTTTTCTAGGTTTGTGACTGTCATAGTGAATGACCACGGCAACTCTCATAAAAGAAAACATTTAACTGGGGCTGGCTTACAGTTTCAGAGGCTTAGTTCATTATCATGGTGGGGAGCGCGGCAGCATGCAGCAGATGTAGTGCCAGAGAAGCAACTGAGACTTCTACAGCAGCATCCATAAGCATCAGGAAGAGAAAGATACTAGACCTGGCCTGGGCTTTTGAAACCTCGAAGCCCACCCCCAGTGATACAGTTGGTCCAACAAGGCCAAACCTCCCAATCCCTCTCAAGTATTGGTACTCCCTGATACCTAAGCATTCAAACTTCATGAGCCTGTGGGGGCCATTCCTATTGATACCATCACAGCGACTCTTTGTTGACCTGTTGGTGAGGGAATGTTGCAGTTGTAAAACATGCTGTGCAACAGCAGGTCAGAGCATTAAAAAAGGGGGGGGGAGTTTTGCTGGGCTTGGTAGTACTCCCCTGTAATCCTAGCAAGAGGCTTACTAAGGCAGGAGGATTAAGAGTACTATTTAGGCCAAGAGGTGGTGGTGCACACCTTTAATCCCAGCACTGGGGAGGCAGAGGCAGGTGGATCTCTTGAGTTCAAGGCCAGTCTGGTCTACAGAGCGAGATCCAGGAGAGCCAGAGCTACACAGAGAAACCCTGTCTTGAACCTCTCCCCTATCCCCAAAAAGATGACTATTTAGTACTACTAAAAGTAAGATAGTCTTATATATATATATATTGTTTTAAAGATACATTTATTTATTGTGTATGTGGGCACAAATGCCATGGCATCTGTGTGGAGGCCAGAGTATAAGCTGTGGGAATTAATTCTTCCCTGTGATGTGAGTGCCCTGGTGGGACTCATTGTCAGGCGTGGTGGCAGGAGCCTTTTAACCCCTCAGCAATCTCACTGGTGTGTGTGTATTTCTGTGTCTGGTCCCCATCTCACAAGGTCTCCTGTATTCTAGGCTACTTGCTGTGTAGCCAAGGATGATCTTGAACTTCTGATCCTGATTCCACTACCCATGTACTGAGACTGCTGGGTCCACTACAACAGTCTCATTCAGTGCAGGGAGTCCAACCCAGGTGTTCCTGGCAAGACTGCCAGCTGAGCTACACCACTGTCCTTGTGCTGTCCTGAGTTCAGTGTCCAGCATTGCAAAAACAACAATACTAAATAAGTAATAATAAATACATTATTAAAGTAGATTTGGATAAATTGAAAATGTTTTTCTGGTTTGAATGGAAGTATGTAATACTATAGTGTGGTCAATTCTAGGTGATCTTATGATCTCCAAAAAGAAGAGTTTCTTTTTTTTTTTTTTTTTTTTTGAGACAGGGTTTCTCTGTGTAGCTTTGCACCTTTCCTGGAACTTGCTTTGTAGCCCAGGCTGGCCTCGAACTCACAGAGATCCGCCTGCCTCTGCCTCCCGAGTGCTGGGATTAAAGGCTTGTGCCACCACTGTCGGGAAGAGCTTCATTTTTATAGATACTGATGTGATGTTAAAGGTTCTGCACTTTTGTGTATTAGCAAAGAGAAGATGAAAACAGAAGGACTTGACTTCCCTGACACATGCTGCAGCATACCCATGTACACACACACTTATGCACACACACACACACACACACACACACACACACACACACATTTTTGATTAAGTGTCCCCTGCCCCGCCCCCCCATCCCCGCATCCCCCCCTTCCCGGTCTCTGTAGCTTTGGAACCTGTCCTGGAACTCGCTCTGTAGACTAGGCTGGCCTTGAACTCAGAGATCTGCCTGCCTCTGCCTCCCGAGTGCTGGGATTAAAGGCCTGTGCCACCTCATCTGGTCTTTGGGGCATTTTTTGATTGCTGATTGGAGGAGGATCAAACCCACTGTGGGGAGCCGCTACCTCTGGGCAGGTGGCCTGGGCTATGTAAGAGTAGCCGACTGTGAGCCTGGGATTGTAAGCCAGCACACAGCATTCCACTGAGGTAACTGCGTCAAACTCTTATCTTGAATTCTTCCTGTAACCTGTAGGGCAATGAGACCTTTCCCCCGAAACTTGTTTTTAGTCATGGTATTTATCACAGCAACAGAAAAGCAAACTAAAATAAGACTCTTAAAAACAAAACCAAAAAGATAAATAAATCTGTTTTATACAAAGCTAATGACTTCTCCTTAGAAGATCTGTTAGATCTAGGAAATAGGATAGGTGTCGGACGCACAGAATGGTGACCTGCCTCCCTTACTAACTAGAGAGCCACAGTTTAAGGAGAGGAGACTGCCTCGCTGTGCTGGGCGATAGTGAGGCAAGTGGAAGGCGGCTCCAGCACTCGTGTGCCGTGCTTCTGAAAGCAGGTGGCATTCTTGAACTC